ATGAAGAATTTCAGAAACATTTCTTATAAATTTTGCATAATACATAACTAGCCCTAAAAATTGTTGAACTTCTTCGACATTTGTTGGAGTTGGAGCATTTAATACAGCTTTCACTTTGTCTTCAGATTTTTCCAAACCTCTTTCTGATATCACATGTCCTAAATATTTGATTTTTTTTTCTAGAAATTTGCATTTATTTTTGTTAAGGTGTAGATCGTATTCTCGTAACCTTTGTAATACTTTGATTAGTCTTGATTTACACTCTTCCACAGTTGACCCCTGTATCAAGATATCGTCAAAATATACTGTAGTACCTTCTAAATCTTGAACTATCTGATCAATAATTTTGTGGAATTCATTTGGTGCTGTTTTTATACCAAAGAATAGACGCTTAGCGATTTTTTGGTATGGGGTACCGATTATTTTGAAGTTGCTGGTTCACTGTCACCTTGTAATCTGCACAGATTCTTATTTTTCCATCAGGTTTTGGAATGATAACCAGTGGCGTTCCCCATTCAGATAGATCTTTTTTTTCAATAATACCTTGTTGCTCTAGAGAATCCAGTTCCCGATCAACTTGGTCCTGTAGAGCATATGGAATTTTTCGAGGTCTAAAGAAAATTGGTTTAGCTTCAGGTTTCATCAATAGGGAACATTTATATTTGGGTATTTTCCCTACTTCTTGACAAAATACGTCTTGAAAATCTTGTAATATATCTAATGAATTAAGTTTTGGAGAATTTGAAGAAATCAGGCCTACATCATTGAAATTGATATTGAATTTCCTAATCCAACTTCTTCCCATAATAGGGCTTCCATAATTAGGTACAACATACAAGTCGCCATTCTGCTGCTTATCTTTGTAGGACACGTTAACTTCCACAACACCCAAGGGTTGGAATACGTGTTTAGTATACGATCGAAAATAAATGTCGGTCCTTTTTAGGGGAATTTTAAGATTTAACTGTTCGAAATCTATTTGTGATATTATAGAGACCGGACTGCCTGTATCACATTCAAAAGTCCAAGGTTTCTTATTAATTTGTAGTTCAACCATAAATTTGGGCTCGTTAATTTTTGAAGAAGTTCCGTTAAAGATATCGACAATTTGATTTATCGTGAAGTATTCACTGGTATCTGAAGAATCTGAGTCATAGTCAATATTATGTATGTTCGTATTTTGATTTAATTTATTCGTAATACAAACATCCGAAATGTGCCCTTTCTTTTTGCATTTTTGGCAGCGAAATTGGTTATAAGATGTGCAGTCTTGGGTCTTGTGATTTCTTTTCCCACATCTTAAACATTTGCCATCGAGTCCTAATTTTTGAAAATTTATGGTATTCTTTCTCCTGTTTGCTGGGTATTCAGTTTGATGTTCTTTTGATCTGCTATCGTTTTGTCTTCTTCCAAAATTTGGGAATACGGCTTCAACTTTTTGAACAGTAGACGTCGAAGCACACTTATAGTCTTCTCTATTCTGTATTTTTGAAGCCTCAATCGAATAAGCAATTTGTAACATTTTATCTAATGAGATATTTGACTGCTGTAAAATTTTTTCATGAATTTCTGTGTCATTTAATCCTTGAATGAACTGTGCCCGAAGAAGAAGATTGATAACGGATCCTGCACATTTTTGATCATTACATTCGGTTTTTATGTCACACGTCTTGATTAGCTCTTTTAATGCAGCAACGTATGTAGTTAATGACTCACCAGGATTTTGGGTTCTTGAGAGAAATTTGTGTTGTTCCTTTTGGGAGTAAGGTGGTTTCTTAAAAGGATTATTAACTCTGTATAGTTTTTGTCTGCTGGAAGATCAGGAGCTGTTAAACTTGAAAGGAGCTTATATTGTTCACTTCCTAGGCAATTAATCAGAACCATTACTTTAGCTTCATCTGTTTCAGGCTCTTCTTTATTAAGTCCTTTGATTTTGAAAAAATTTTCTAGCCTCTGATGATAACTGTCGAAGTTTTCGGAGGTTTCATCAAAATGTTCGAAGGTTAAAATCTGTGTCTGAAGAAGATCTTTGACTGTATTTGAACGTTGTTGTAGAATATTTATTAGGGCACTTAGAGCATTTACCAATGGTGTTAGATCTTCTGCTGAAGTTGAGGAACAAAAGTAACAAATTATAGCGTGTACATTTAGATACACTGGTTTTTTCCCGGGGTATCAAAGCTATAACTTATATATATATCGATGGAAAGGTGGGAATTCCCCCGTTACACTAGTTAAGATGTTAAAATGTTAGAAATAAAGAGAAGGGAGAAAAAACCACCAAAAAAAAGTGCGTTTTTTCCTTGAGCCCGCGTTTTCCAATTTTATTGAAGAATGGACGACTTGGCCAAAAAAAGTAATTGCACAATCGAAAAGTAGACGTTCTTAGCTTTTGAATGATGTATCATAGAGACCAATCCGATCATGTATTAATTTTTAATTGATGGTTGTTCACAAAATTTCCCCGCGCTCCAAAAACAGCAAAAATTTGAAATTTTCATTTAAAAATTCCAAAAAATTAGAGTATACAAATTTCACAGATGACAAAGGACCTTATAAGGACTCATAATCAAGAAAATTTGAGGAAATTAGTGCAATACAAAAAAAATGGGAACAAATTCCTGGCGAGGTCAAAATTGCCCGGGAGCAGAAAGTTTGACCCGTGTTCCGACATGGCCAAAAGAGTCGAGCATGACTCAAGTCACAGGGTATGATAGCAGCAGAATTTCTCTTTTACATGAACTTTGAATCATGAGAAAATATGCATTTTTAACAAAGTTATTGAATAATTTGTCCCCCCTGATGTGTAAATACACGAACTGTGCTCTCCGGCATACAACACAGAAGCTTTATTCAAGGCGCGCTTGGTGCCGTTTTCCTCGAAACCGGGCAAATTTTCGAGAAAAATCATAAGAACCATTTTTGTAGAAAATTAACTGAAATTCAATTTTTATCTGAACCAAAAACCTCTAACTGCCATATTTTAGGAGATATTAGCTGAAAACCTATATTTCTGGTCTTTTGGGGCCATTTTCTCGGCCATTGCAAGCGTTTTCCACGCAAACTTTGTCCCATGTTTAATGAGGTACCAAAAGCTACTTCCAACCGGAAGATGAAAATAGGGCGTAATTAAGTCCAACTTTATCCCTTTATTTATTGGACTATTAAGGGAAAAAACTTTTTAAACATGCTATTCAACAAGTTTGGCATTGCACGTTTTCCAAGACTTACCTTAACATTTGAGGTTAATTTTTGAGATCACCCTACTTTTTTTATGACCATTGAAAAGGATGTTTAATAAGCTTTTCAAAGAGGTATCACAAGTGGGTGATTGTAATTTAATATTTTTACGGCAGTATGGGTTGGGCTTAAGGGGGAGATTGGGGATATTTAAAAAAATATGTCATTAAGTTTTTGATATCTCTCTTTAATTAAAAAATACAGCTATTGTAAGTTTTTAAATGCCCACCCTGTTTCTTGTAAAGAATGAATAAATAATAACATTCCACAAGACATTTGCCTATTCGTATTTACAAATAGATTTTATATTTTAATAAAACTAATCTAAAACCAATTTAGTTGCCAATATTGAAATTATTTTTATGTTTCAGATTTTAATTTTCGCTCTGTTGGCAGTAGCTAATTCTGCTCCAGCACCAGTTCCACGACCACAGTATGCTTATTCGACGCCTTACCTAGGATCTGGTAGTTATGCTTATCCCTCGGTATATTATGGACAATCTGCAGTGTATCCTGGTTACGGCGCGGCTAATAATGGTTACGATTATAGTGGTTATTCACCTTATTCTTCTGTGTATTCCTATTATTAATTCAAAATGTATGCTTTTAAATAAAAAATAATATTTTTTATTACTTTTGTTTCTTTTTCCTATTTTTTAATAATAACTACATTTTCATTCCTTTTATACTTTGTCTTCAAGATTTTTTTACTGATTATAATCCTTATTTATATTATTGTTCAAAAATGACAAACATTTTTTATTACTCTCTTTTTAATCCACACTGTATATATAATAAACATAAAAACAAAAAGGTCTTTACAAAAACATACCACATATTCCTTAGACCAAAATAAGTTGATTTAAGTAAAATTACCTTAGTACAAAGTTGTTTCTTTTGGGCTCCAGAGGGCCTTGAAGTTACAATTTTTAAATCGTTTTTCCCATATAAATTTAAAACGGCATATGCGATTTTGCTGAAATTTGGTATATTGGTAGAGTTTTATGTGGCAAAAAAAATGGTATTAAAATTTTGTCCGATAATAATACATAGGCGTAGAACTTAATTTTTAAATAATTGTACCTTTAAAAATTCTACGCCAATGGAAGAAAAGGAGTTTGAGTATGAAATTTAGATTGCGCAACTCATTTACTTTAAAAAAGGTACTCCTGATAAGACTCGATTACTCTCATGGTTTTCGCTAAATTTCTGTTTTAATAATTTAGAGTGTATAGGTTTCACAAAAATATTTATTTACAACATAATCAAAATAGAGATTTTACAATAATTGTTCAAAATGTTCACCATTTTCACGCATACAAAGGTTTATACGTCGAAGAAAATTAAAATGTATCCTTTCCATAACTTCTTCATCACCTCTAAGATTGTTTATTGCATCTTGAATACGTTGCCAGAGTTGTTTCTCATTTTCTACAGGTTCCCTGTAAACTGTGGATTTCAGATGTCCCCATAAAAAGTAACCAATCGTTGTTAGGTCTGGGGAACGTGGTGGCCAGTTTAAAGGTGCGTCATTACCTCTGCCTATCCATTTGTGTGGATATTGTTCAATCAAGTGGTTTCTAACGTATAAAGAAAAATGTGGTGGAGCTCCATCTTGCATAAACCACATATCTCTCCGAAGTTGAAGAGGTAAATCTTCTAACAATTCTGGCAACGTATTCTGTAGAAAATCCAAATAATTTTCTCCACTTAATCTTCGTGGAAGTATGACATGACCAACAATGAAATTATCAATTACACTAGTTCACAAAATTTAACTTTTTGTCTGTTGCCGCGAATTTTGTGGTTGATAATGTTCACTTATTACTTGTTTTTGTCAAATCTAACCTCAACATTTTTTGAGCAGCTCGAGTTACTTTGTTTTTAATTTTTATCATTTAAGCGTATATATTAATCGATAACAGGCGTATTTTACTGTGTTAAGATTAGTATCTGAAGTTTTTGCGTCATGAGTAGTTCAAGGAGACGTTGTTTGAAAAATTCAGATCATTTTTGCTATATATGCGGAGAATATGTGTTTAACGATTGTAGAAAAGTTATATCAGAGCTGGTAAAAAATACATATTTTGAATATTTTAGGATGCTCTTGGATAAAAATGAGCAGTCTTGGGCTCCCAATTGTGTTTGCAAATCGTGTGTGAAATATTTAAGATTATGGAAAAGTGGTAAAAGAAATGCCTTTAAATTTCAAACACCGACTATTTGGCGAGAACCACGAAATCATCTCGAAGACTGTTATTTTTGTACCGTGAACGTAAACGGTTTAAACACTAAAAATCAAGCTAAATGACAGTACCCAAGTACTAGTTGTGTTCAACGTCCAGTGCAGCGTTCACCTAACTTGCCAGTGCCTAAAAATATATCTGAACCCTTGGAACAAGACATTGAAGGACCAAGCTCATCACAAAATGATGCTGATTTTGAAGGTACGCCAAATAAGCTAAAATGATTTCCCCAAAATGAGTTAGATGATCTTGTAAGACATTTAAATCTTTTTGAACAAGCTTCAGAATGGTTAGCATCAAGACTGAAAGAAAAAAATTTGCTTTCCTCAGATACTAAAATAAGTTTTTATCGTGAAAGAGATAAATAATTACGGTTGTTATTTTTCCGAAGAAAACGATATTACCTTTTGTTCAGATATTAAAAACTTGTTAATAAAAATGGGCTTGAAACAATACGAACCAAACGACTGGCTTTTATTCATTGACAGCTCAAAACGTAGAAGAGCGCTATCGGGATTTCTGGGACATGAATATGATGTCTGTTGGTCTCTGATACGTCATTTTCCAAAGTCTACACATAACAGAAGACCTTTAAAACGAAGTTTTTTAGAACTCAATGATTAATTATTTTTTTAGTGAAGTTTTTCTTAGTAAATACATGTTTTTTTCTGTTTCATACCTACATAGCTGAAGCTCAGAAACTAGAGCTGATTAAAATCTTCTAATTATATTTTTGAAAATAGCATATTATATGTAGTCAACAACAGCTGAAATTTCTTCGGCAACAGATGTACTGTAAACTAGTGTTATTCCAGCCCACTTTTAATTTTGAATTCGTGCTGAAAATGGTTTACCTTTATTGCATGCGGATTTTCAACGGCATAAACATGTTCAGTATGGGTATTAGTTATAGCTCTTCTTGTAAAACCCGCTTCATCGGTAAAGAGAACCTTCTTGACAAAGTTTGGATCTCTTTCTCTTTACATATTAACAAATCGATAAAAACCCTAACGAATTTGAGGATCATGGACTAATAATTCTTGTACTGGCTTCTTATGGTATAGATATAGCAATTGTTCTCTAAGCACTTTATGAACGACATTTTTACTTACTCCTAGTTCCCTTCCATTTCGTCTGGTGCTTAATTCTGGATCTTCTTCAACACGTTCTAAAATGTCTTCTTCAACTTGAGGAATCCTTACAAAACGTTCTCTTCCATTATCAACAGTATTGGGAGCAAAGGAACCGGTCTCCCGAAGACGTCTCTCAACAGCAGCAAAAGTTGAGTGGCTAGGTACACGACGATTTGGAAACCTTTCAGAGTACACCCTGACACTCTCTCAAGCATTTCCTTCACAAAATCCTAATGTCAGTAACATATCGGTATATTCTGCTTTGGTATATTGTACAGCCATATTAATAAATAGATAATGCAAGACCGCGTTCTCTATTCTCACTTCCACAATATAGTATAAAGAGTTTGAAATGGATCTAATAACTTTTCTACTAAAGGCATTAATTTCTGAAGTCTATCGTTTGCATAACTTTCATTCTCATTATTATTAAAATGCCACATTTGAAAAGCTGTTTAAATCTGTTTCTTGACATAACTTCTTTTTTTACCTTGTTTAAGTAAAGAGGATTAGTACTCCAATAAACTTTTAGTCGCGTAGCCTCATAATGCCCATCCAAAGAATAAAGCCCATAAATCTTTCCATTTCCTTGTTGTTGGTAGGATTCCATTTCTTTACATGCCCCTTAGCTTTTGGTCTCATCTTTAGAACTTGTTTGGCATAGATATTTGTTTGGCTTACTATAAATTCTATTATCTACCACACTTGATACCTTTCAAATTTGAAAATTTATAAGTACTTGCATTTTACACAATTTTGCTTCAAAATCTAAAATAGGGCAATTTTTGTTGTCTACTTTAGTCAGATCATGCATAGATTTATTCTAAAGTGCTCAATATTTTAATATTTTATTTTGATTTAATAAAATATCTAACAAATTTTTGCTATTTTTAAGAAAATTTTATTTATAAAACTAAGTAAAAATATTCGTAGTTGATAATAAAAAAAAGAAATCAGGGCCTATTTGTCAGGCAGGAATTATTAAAACAAAAAATCAAGCTCTATAGCAACCTTTTTTTCTTTCGGGCCACATAAATATACAGGGTGTCTGTAAAAGGTCTTTACAAAAACATACCACATATTCCTCAGACCAAAATAAGTCGATTTAAGTAAAATTACCTTAGTACAAAGTTGCTTCGTTTGGGCTCCAGAGGGCCTTGAAGTTACAATTTTTAAATCGTTTTTCCCATATAAATTTAAAACGGCATATGCGATTTTGCTGAAATTTGGTATATTGGTAGAGTTTTATGTGGCAAAAAAAATGGTATTAAAATTTTGTCCGATAATAATACATAGGCGTAGAATTTTATTTTTAAATAATTGCACCTTTAAAAATTCTACGCCAATGGAAGAAAAGGAGTTTGAGTATAAGATTTAGATTGCGCAACTCATTTACTTTAAAAAAGGTACTCTCGATAAGACTCGATTACTCTCATGGTTCTCGCTAAATTTCTGTTTTAATAATTTAGAGTGTATATGTTTCACAAAAATATTTATTTACAACATAATCAAAATAGAGATTTTACAAAAATTGTTTAAAATGTTTACCATTTTCACGCATAAAAAGATTTATACATCGAAAAAATTTAAAATATATCCTTTCCATAACTCCTTCATCACCTCTAAGATTGTTTATTGCATCTTGAATACGTTGCCAGAGTTGTTTCTCATTTTCTACAGGTTCCCTGTAAACTGTGGATTTCAGATGTCCCCATAAAAAGTAACCAATCGTTGTTAGGTCTGGGGAACGTGGTGGCCAGTTTAAAGGTGCGTCATTACCTCTGCCTATCCATTTGTGTGGATATTGTTCAATCAAGTGGTTTCTAACGTATAAAGAAAAATGTGGTGGAGCTCCATCTTGCATAAACCACATATCTCTCCGAAGTTGGAGAGGTAAATCTTCTAACAATTCTGGCAACGTATTCTGTAGAAAATCCAAATAATTTTCTCCACTTAATCTTCGTGGAAGTATGACATGACCAACAATGAAATTATCAATTATTCCAGCCCACTTTTAATTTTGAATTCGTGCTGAAAATGGTTTACCTTTATTGCATGCGGATTTTCAACGGCATAAACATGTTCAGTATGGGTATTAGTTATAGCTCTTCTTATAAAACCCGCTTCATCAGTAAAGAGAACCTTCTTGACAAAGTTTGGATCTCTTTCTCTTTACATATTAACAAATCGATAAAAACCCTAACGAATTTGAGGATCATGGACTAATAATTCTTGTACTGGCTTCTTATGGTATATATTGAAATGATAACACCCTATATTAAAATATAATAAAACTAAAAATAATAACATTACTAATAATAATAATAACTATAATATAATAATAACATTAATAAATAAAAATAATGTGGGAATATGTACCCTGTATATTAAAAATTGATATGAGAGAGTCATAAGTGAAGGAGACTTTGGGGAAGTAGGTAGAGAAGGATGGTTTCTAGGTTTGAGAAGGAAGGATTTGTCAATTTTGATTTTTGAAAAATGTCAGTAGTAATTTTGGAAAATAAATTGAATTGTAAATTAAAAGAATATACAAACAATTAAATAAGCAAAACCTAGAAGTTACGTTGTAAAATATAAAAGAAACTATAGATAGATACAGAAAAAAAGGAGAGTACATAAAAAAAAGAGGTGGAGATGGATGTAGACCAGGAGTCCAAGGAAAAGTAAAGAATAGTAGAACCAAGACTGTGAGTACGCCATAATATATAAACATTTTATTTTGTGCGTTTTGACTGATAAATATTAAAAAAAAAAAAATGGAATAAAAGGTATCTAACAATTGTTCGTTAGGAAATTGGACAATTCTGAAATTAGATGTAAATTTAGTTAATTTTCATGAATGTCTAAATGATAGATTGTAGTTATTGGATTTTGTAAATTTTGACAATTCCAATTTTTTAGTAGGTGTAGTAGGGTCGTTCATAAGTTATTTTCTTCAAGATATGGAATATCTGATTTGTTCAATGTTTTCTATAATGTTGTGTGGAAATTAAACTATAAGTTGATTTTTATAAGAGTTTTGTTTATTTAAGCGTTTATTTTTCACAATATAACAAAAGACAGGTACTTATAAAATTTCTTTATCTACGAGAACTTTTGCATAATTCCAATAAATAGATTCTACAAAAGATTAAAATATAATTAAAATATAATTAAAATATAATTAAAATATAATTAAAATATAATTAAAATATAATTAAATTAATATTAAAATAAAATTTAAATAAAATTAAAACAAAATTGAAATAGAATTCATATAAGATTAAACAAAATAAAACAGTATTAATATTATAATTTGAAAGCACCCCTGAGATAAAAAAAAAAAAAAATTATACTTTAATTAAAAAAAAATTGAAAATGGTAATCAGGTGCGATATCATTTCAATATATAGCAATTGTTCTCTAAGCACTTTATGAACGACATATTTACTTACTCCTAGTTCCCTTCCAATTCGTCTAGTGCGTAATTCTGGATCTTCTTCAGCACGTTCTAAAATGTCTTCTTTAACTTCAGGAATCCTTACAAAACGTTCTCTTCCATTTTCAACAGTGTTGGGAGCAAAGGAACCGGTCTCCCGAAGACGTTCCTCAACAGCAGCAAAAGTTGGGTGGCTAGGTACACGATGATTTGAAAACCTTTCAGAGTTCACCCTGACACTATCTCTAGCATTTTCTTCACAAACTCCTAATGTCAGTAACATATTGGTATATTCTGCATTGGTATATTGTACAGCCATATTAATAAACCACGCATTTGTTTTTTTAATTATTGAGTCAGATAGAACACTTTCAATCGTTAACAAGAGATTAAGTGTTGAAAATTGATATTTTTATTTAGATGAAACTATGGAAACCAACAATAAATTATTTTTGTATACGTATTGCAGACAAATAATTAATATTCCTCAAAAAATCGTACATGGCAAGAATCGAGTATTTTTGTTAAAAGTCTCGATTAGAAGTGTTGAAGAAGATATGAAAAAAGTACATTTTTATGTTTTTCATCGTATAAATTTTTTTTTTCGATAATAATACATAGGCGTAGAACTTGATTTTTTAAATAATTGCACCTTTAAAACTTCTACGCCAATGGCAGAAAAGGGGTTTGAGTATGAAATTTGGATTGGGTACTCATTTGCTACAGAGTACCCTTGATATCACTCGATTTACTCTCATGGTTTTGATAAAGTTTGTATTTTAATAATTATTGTTTATGTTCTAAAATTACTAAAATGCAAATTTCGTCAAAACCAAGATAGTAATCGAGTCTTATCAAGAGTACCTTTTTTAAAG